GGGGTGGGGGAGTTTAACAGTATTGGATCCTGGACTCAGGGCCTTGTATTGTTGCTTAGTTTTTCACTCAAGGTTTGGTACTCTACCACTTGAGCCACATCTCCACTTTCAGCATTTTCTGACTAATTGGAGATAAAAGTCTTTTAGACATAACTGCCCAGACTTACCCAGCTTTGAACTGTGATCTTTAGATTTCAGCCTCCTACTTAGCTAGGAGGGACCACCAATTTCTACTATTTTTCTTACAATATCTTAAGCATTTCCAAAATGCTACATCCAATTGATAGTCATAGTATTATGGTTAAGTTTCAGAGACATCCTAATCATTTATCAATTTTGACCTACAAAAATGGCAATTTCATATGTTCTAATCTAATATCTCTGCATATTTTGTACCACTGTTAAGGATGTATAGTTCTAACCAAAGACCTTGAATAGCATCACAATCTTTAAAAAACCACACAAAATTTTGTCTCTCTAAAGGCCAATAGGACATCTTGGACATAATATATATTGCCTATGGAATAGAATGAAAAAAATAAAGATACAGAGAAATTCTGAAGTAGAGAACAGATTAAGTGGTTTTTTAAAAAAGGACATAATAAAGAAAAGCTCTTTGAGAACATGAAAGGAAGGTCTGGCAATTAATGTATGATTTAGCTAAATTTTAAAGAACAGAAGTCAACATTACTCATAAAATGCATCTTTCAATTGCTGCCTTCAGGCAAAAGGCTATTCCATGTATATTGATTAACTGGTACATAAAAACTTTTCCATTATCATTTCTCAGTATATAGTCATGCTGAAAGACCCAAGTCCAGATGAAGACCAGCTCCAAATGGCTGGAAAATATGTTATCATCCAGTCTGATTTCAATTCTATTTTTTTAAATGAAAAAATGATGTCAATCTTAGTCTGATGAATGCTTGGAAAGTGCACTTAAAAATCAAAGAGAATAGTGAAAGGAAAGCTTTCAGGAGAAGGTTTTCAGGGTAAAGACAGTATTGTAGAGCATCTCTCCATCTTCCGTTCAGTACCTGAATGGCTGGGAAAGTGTCTTCAAAACTCCTGTATGTAGCTAACCTAAGCAGGAGTCTTAAAGTTAGATGGAAGCCAGGACCAACTATATTTGATTGGTTTATTGAGAAAGAAAATGAATTTTCAGATACAAGTGCAAAGCCAGGAGTCCAAAGTGAAGATGGTTGCTATCATGAACATAGGTGACTTTCTGAGTCACTTCTTTAGTTCTCATTTCTTTAGTTCATGGAAAGAGATCACCAAATGGACAAGTCCACCATGAGCTTCACCCACATACAGCCTGTGCAACAAGACAGAACTCTACCCTTGGTTTAATTTTCACAAAAGTTTCTGTATTTCTGTTTCATATTGAGTCCTTCAAGTCATGCAGTCTTATTTGTTGATAAGCTGAACATGATAGCATATCTGTATGCTCAACTACCAGGAGGCTGTGGGGGGGGAGGATTGCTTGAGTCTATCAATTTTAATCCACATTAGACAACATAATGAGAAAGAAGGAAAGGAAGAGAGAAGAAAGGAAAGAAGGAAGAAACAAGGAAGGGAAAGATGAAGGAAAGAGAGACATTTATCCTAGTACAAAAACTTTAGAAACTTTTATCATCACTCTAATCATCTTATCTCCTTTTTACCCACTCCATATAGGCCCTATTTGTATTGGATACCAGTCAAACTTTACTTCAGAATAATAATTTCGGCACTTTCTGTCATAGAACATAATATGTTTTGGCATCTACTCCCAATTTGTTTTGTATCTTTATACTTCCATTGGGAGGGGCGTCAGGCATGATCTCAGCCTGTACCTCAGACCAGCCTCCTGCCTTAGCATCCACGGTCCTGATTCATTAGCATTCCAAGTTCTAAAATTAAAGCTGTGCATCATGACACCAGCTAAAGTTTTACAGTTTCTCACGAGTTTGGTTTGTATCTCCATCGCTAATAAAAGCTATTTACTCCTTGAGATGATGGCCTCACAAGTTGACACTTGCCAATTACAATGTCTTCAGCAATGAGCCAAAAAAAGTTATATAGATTTAAGATCATAAGGATGGAAGACAGATAATATAATTGCCTTCAGCTCTTCAATTCAAATTTAATGTTATGGAAAAAGAAAGAAAACACTCAAGCTAAAATGGATGATCTTTATGGGAATCATGCCTGACACCAGAAGTTGCCATTTCTACCTGCTACAAATGGGTCCCAATTAACTAGACCACTTGTCTTTAAAAAAAACTTATCCCCTACATACAAATTAAGGTTACCTCAATCAACAGCTGTAGCATGCTAAATTATGAATTTGCTTTGCTTTTATGATATCTATTCTATCCCATTTCAATATAACTAATAGAATTAGAATCAGATCAAATCTGAGAGAAATAAATTAATTCTGACTAAAAGAAGCAAATTCTCTAAAGCTCAGGTTACCATGCCCTAGACTGACCTAGATTGCAAATAGTAGTACATTTTGACCTGCACCTGCTCTTAAGATTTCTGATAATAGGAGAGTTTCTTATCTAATTTGTAGAAATTATCATCAGAAATAAGATATTAAGCCAAAAGGAAATGTAAGGTTTACACAGGAAGATTGTCTCTTAAGTCCTCTAGTTATCCAGTAGCCTCGACAATATATCTAAATAAAGTGAGTCTAAAACCAGTAAGCACATGGCAGGAATGTAAGAGATGACCGCCAACAATAAGTAAATAATAAAGTTTATCAGTGATAGTGAGGACTTACACAAAGGAAATCATATAGCCGTGCCTCACCCAGGAATCTTGTCATGTGTCAAGTAAAACATGTTTCCCAGTGAATCTAAACAAATTGCTTCGCATTGGTCTATCAAAAATAATCATGGAACTTTAACTTCCTCTGCTTTTATATGTAAAGTATAATTTCAGACCATTTTCACACATGAATGAGAGTCTTTACCAGGCTTTTTAATGAGAAAGTTGGTAAGTCCTTAACATTCTCTTGTGAAAAATGATAAAGCATGGAGACTTTTCAAAATTAGTAGTATACCAGGTAAATAAGTTGCTGTCATCTTTAGTATTTCTTTCTGGTGTTCATCTTTCTGTCAAGGGATTGTCAGTAGCAATGCTGAACAATAGTGGTGGGAGGGGGATGGGAGAAAAGAATGTTTATCATAACCAGCACTCACAACAGATCTTGAATTTAGACCATACTCATGATGGCAAAGCCACCTTCCATATGAAGGCTTTACCTCTACTGAAACTAGAAAGAAGATGAGGAGAGACACAATGATTAACTGTTAGTAGTTTATTAGGACTTCACTGGTTTTGTCTAAAACAGTATTTTGAAATGTTCCCTTGTTTGGCACTGAGATGATATCATAACTTAGCAGTGAGTGATAATATTGTGGACAGATGAGAAGTTTGCCTTTCTTTTGAAAAGTAGAAGAGTGACAATTATCAAACAGGATTCTAGAAAGGGTCTCAGTGATATGCCCAGGCAGATCAATGTTAGGACCAAAGAACCTAGAAGGAGATTCCCTTAATTTTCATGCCTGTACACCACTGGGAAAGTCTTTAGTTCCCCATAAGACACACTTACCTCAGCTTGACGATTTTGAACCTGACTTGCTAGAATCACTTTAGTGATTTACTTTCAAAAAGCATGATCTCTCTCTTTTTTTGTCAGTCACTGGGCTAGAACTCTGGGCCTGGATGCTGTCCCTCAGATCATCAGTTCAAGGCGAGTGCCCTACCACTTGAGCCACAGATCCTCAGATCTCAGCCTCCTGAGTAGCTAGGATTACAGGCATGAGCCACCCACGCTCGGCTTCAAACTACATTTTTAAGATGTATATGTAAATAAAGGACTAAAATAGCCAAAAAATGTTAATATAGAACAAATGTAGAGGAAGTAGAGGAATTTAAACTCCTGGATATTAAAAATTGATGACAATGAAAACATGAAACATGGGAATAAGAACGGTCCAATGGATGAACAGTAGTAAACATATCCACACATGTAGAGTCATCTGGTCCATGAGATGCCAAGAGTATCATTTATATATACACAGTTAAAAGTAAGGATTCTGATTCAGGGACTTCTTTTCATCTTATTCATTGTAGTGACTTAGCCCTGACCATGTTTTGTCAAATTTTTTTGTTGGATGATGTGTCTCTCCTCTGTTTTATGTTGGTACTTATTACAATTTTATCAGGGAAACCAAATCACATATGCACAACAGAAACTAAGACAGCTTGTTTATAAATGCTTTATTATACTATTTTCCTTGTGTTGATCAATATAATCAAGTTAGCAATCTTGCTTGGTCTTGAAAAAGAAAAAAGAAACTCACTGCACTGAATTTTCACAGGACAGTACATGCACTATGAAACCTGGAACTAGTTTGGTTTTCATTTCTTTACAGAATGGCACCTCCAGCAATATGGGCCATCCGAATAACTTTCACTGTTATTCTTATTGCCCTTAGACTTCGGAGGGGAGATAAACTTGAGGACATTTCAAGGCAATTACTGTCAAACATCAACTGGAAAATTCCAGGTGTAGAATGGCCATTGAATTACATGAACACTCAAACTTGCTTCAAACTCTGGACTAACAAAGGCTACAATTAAATTCACATTTTCTTAGTTTACAAAGAAATGATACACAACCCAATGCTATATAGTCTTGCCTGAAAACGTTGTATTAGATAAGTGTCTTAGTTCCTATTCTTCAACCTAAAATTTTATAACCCACTTTAATCATTCAAAAATGATTAGCTTATAAATATATATATATATAGATACACATTTATAGTAAGCTTGTGACTTGAATTTTTGAATTAGAAATTATGGTGCTAAATAGCTTTGCTCTTAAATATGCCCGACTATACAAATAAATATGATGGTTACATACAAGTATAAATTGAATATGGAGACTCCAGTGTTTTAAAACCAATGCAGAGAGACTTAGAGTTGTTAAGAAATGAGCTATTTTAGTTCTTTAAAGTATATTTCACAGCTGCTATGATGTGTCTGGCACTGATTCCAAACATATCCAGCAATTCCCCAGGTTTCCCACTTCGAGGCAGCTCCGTCACCGCCAGCCGATGAACGTGGATGTCGGGCTCTCCGGAGACGGCTGCACACACAGCTTCTCCAATGCCACCTTCTAGATAGTGGTCTTCCACAGTGATAATCCGGCCACCTGTGGCTTTTGCACTGGAGATGATGGTGGCAGCATCCAATGGTTTAATGGTGAATAGGTCAATGACACGAACAGAAATGCCTTGCTGGAAAAGATCATCAGCAGCTGCTAAGGCTTCATGGAGAGTAACTCCAGCTCCGATAACTGTCACCTTGTCCTGGGCACTCTGGTGGATGACCTTGGCCTGTCCGACCTCAAAAGGTTCATGTGGGGTATAGATCACTGCAGTTTCCGGCTGACTGGTCCGAATGAAGCACATTCCCTTGGTACTGGCAGCCAGATAAACAGCGTGCTCCGTGGAGACGGCATCGCTTGGATAGAAGATGGTGCAATTGGGAATGCTTCGGAACATGGCCAGGTCCTCTAGCGCCATCTGGTAGGGTCCATCTTCACCAAAGGACACCCCGCAGTGAGAACCAATCAGATTGATGTTGGTGTCCGAGATGGCACCCATTCGGATCTGATCGAAGGCGCGGGTGAAAAAGGCAGCAAAGGTACTGGCAAAGGCAATGGTCCGCCCTCGGGTAGCACACCCCAGAGCCACGCTCACCATGTTCTGCTCGGCCATCAGACACTCTATGTAGCGCTCCGGATGCTCTTTCTTGAAAATCTCGGAGTAGATGGAGTTTTTCGGGTCACAGTCCAAAACAATAACTCTTTTGTGAGCATGGCCCAGTTTAGCCAGGGCCAAACCAGAGGCTTTTCCGGTGGCTATCTTCTCGCCCAGTCTGTAAGCAGGAGGCGAGGCCATTTTCACGTTATTGGTGTTGATCTGCGGCGAGTCTTCCACGGGGGCCTTGGGTGTGAGATGGCGGTTGGATCTTATTTGACTCTCCAGGGATGCGATAACTGCATCGGCTTGCTCTTCGGCATCCTCCATGTGGGGCTCACCTCGACCCTTGAAGGTCTTGGCGATGACGGCGGTGGGCTTGTTCTTCACTTGCGCTGCTTGCCAGAAGGCCTGGCACAGCGCCTCCACGTCGTGGCCGTCCACCGAGTAGGCGTTCCAGCCGAAGGCTTCGCAGCGCCGCCGGTACACGTCGGGGCGGCGGCCCGGCGGGGCGGCGCCGCTCTGCCCCAGGCGGTTCACGTCCAACACCGCCACGAGGTTGTCCAGGTTGTACTGGGAGCCGAAGGCCAGCGCCTCCCAGACGGAGCCCTCCGAGGACTCGCCATCTCCCAGGAGGCAGAACACCCGGTAGCTGGCCTTGTCCAAGTACTTGCCGGTGAAGGCCAGGCCGCAGGCGGCGCCCAGGCCCTGCCCGAGGGAGCCCGTGGCCACGTCCACGAAGGGCAGGCGCGGGGAGGGGGGGCC